CAATAGCCCTAATCAAGGCCCAGGTCCGAACCCGGGACGGAAACAGATGGAATAGCCTCCAGATCACCAGGAAACCAAACTCAGCGATCTGGAAAGAACCACACCCCTGCCGAGCAGACAAGAGGACTGACTGGGAGCCCACACCAGCCAGTCGTCGAGGTAGGCCAGACACCGAATCTCAAGCAGACTCAGACAGAGCACCAAGATCCGGTAAAGATGCAAAAAAACAAAAGGTGCCAATAATTGACCTGGAGGTCCAGGGCCACCATTGAGGCACCCGGCCCCAACAAAAGCCGGACAGGAGACAACAATCCTCTGAGGAGGGCATAGAAACCAGGGTGCAGACTGAAGAAGTCCAGATGAACTGCAAATTCAAAGGCCCATGTCTGCAAAGAGCAGACGGGAACCCCAGAAGGATGGGGCGGATCGACCACGCCCAACGCACCCACCAAGATGACATGACGAAGCGCAGGGGAAGAAGCCCACCCCGCCAGCTCTGAACCTCCCCAAAGGGGCAGAAGCCGTCCACTGCCGCCACCAGAGGCCAGAAGACAACCAAAAGCACCTACCAACAGCAGGACCATACGAGAGTCAACAGAGCAAGCTGCTCCCCGGCGCCCCGTCAACAGAGAAGGGAACAGAGCCAATTCCGAAAGAAAAAGTACACATATACATATATACATATCATGTATATACACAAGGTAGGTGACACACACGTGTGTGTACACATGTACATGCGTACACACACACACACACACACACATTCACTTGAAAAGAAAATTTCAAGCCGCCGGCCAGGCAAAGAAGGCACAAAACTGCATCAAAAGGCCCACCTCGGCAAAACCTCAAAGTCCTAGCACAACCACAACACATGCAAAGACCCAATAAGATCAATCTGCAAGCCAGGAAGACCCCAGAACTCCAGAAGGCAGAAACCGGGTCACACACGAGGAAACAAAGACCCCAGAACCCACAAAGGGGCCCAAGAGGAAGAAACCTCCGGAACGAAACCAAAGAACCCAAAGGAACCCGGAATCGAACCAGGGGGAGGCCAAACCACCACATTTTGCCGGCGGAGAAAGACCACAGAAAGGCAAAGCACAGCCCCCAGACAGAACCCCCTGGGAAAACGGTCATAACAGACCGAAAATCGAGGGACAAGGTGTGGGAGCAAGCATAACAGCCAGGGGACACTGAGCAAACCCAAAGGCCCAGACAAAAAACAGACAAAATGGAAAACCCAGTGTAAAATCAACACTCAAACGTTACCAGAGGAACAGGCAACGGGCAGAAAACACCAGAAAAGCAAAGAAACGACAACAGGAGAATAAAAACCCCTGAAAAAAGGTGAAAACTCACCCAAGAAGCTCGCTCGCACACCCAGTCGCATGTAAACAAACCGCTACGCCGCCCTGGTGGCCACGCCGGGAAACCGGCCGACGAAAATGGCCGCCAGAACAGGGGCTGTGACTGACGCTAAAGATACAAAAACACGCCAGCAAAAGTGGGAAGCAAGCAGACTGGGTGAAAAACACCGCCCAAAAGCAGAAAACTCAGGCAGGGGCAAACCGCCCCAGAACTGCTAGTAGGCATCCCCCACAGCCCCAGGAACCCGCAACAGAGGCCCCGGTGCAGAGCCGTCCTCCAAGCCCTCCGCCCTTAACCCTCAAACCGCGCATATCATATATAAATGATATCAGTGACAAAACCGAAACCGCGCACATCATTTATATATGATTTCGTGTCTAGCGCTATAATTTAAACTCCCCGCCTGGGATAGGGGCAGCTATAGTACAGCCACGACTGATAGTTGCCAGATGCCACCTAGAAAAAAAAATCCAGGCCAACATTCTTGGGTGTTACAGCGTCAGTATTGAGCAAGCCACCAAGGCTGGCCCACGCAGCACGAGCTCACAGCACCGCTGTTCAGCTTGTGACCACAGCATCGCCTACAAATACCATAATATATATGATACTGCTATTATTTAGCAGTGATAGTATTACTGAAGCCTCCTGACTGTGATAAAACTGACCAGGATTCTGATAATAGCAGGATTGTGGTGATATTTAGTGCTGTGCTCCATGGAGGGAGGCGTAAGGCTGTGCGAGGGAGGGTTGTGGCGTCGTCTTCTGACTGTGTGTGGCCACCATTTATTGACTGCACTCACCATACCAGCTTAGTGGTTCGATATGGTGAACACAAATGTAGATACTTATATATAACGTGTGTATAGAGTGTGATAACAGCGAGAGGAGTAGGTTGGGAGCCGCCATTTTGGTGAGGGAAGAGCGTCGTCTGCACGTCTTGGCATGGTGTTTACTGATGGCCACTATGGTCTTTGGGCACCAAACCAGCTTATTTGTTCAGGTATGGTGAATAAAACAGGTAGATACTTATATATAATATGTGTATATAGCGTAATAACACCACAAACAATATTGTTGAAGGACAAATATTAGTGCGTCTGGCCTTGAGGGCGGCCGCCGATCAGCTGACTGTGTGAGTAGCTACGTCTTTGTGGCCTTTACTCACCATACAAGCTTAGATGTACAGTTATGGTGAACAAAACATGTAAATACGTATATATAACGTCTGTGTATAGTGAATAAATACAGAAAGAGTATTGTAGGAGGTGAATGAGGGTGAGTAAGGTGTTGTTGAGGGAGGGAGTGGCAGTGAGTGGCTCGCTGGTGTTTGGCGGTCACTCCTCGTTGCTTTTTGACTCACAAGACCAACTTAGTAGTTCGTTATGGTGTACAAAACATGCAAATACTTATATATAACCTGTGTATATAGTGTAACAACAGCAAAACTATTTGTTTATTGTTTTATGAACATAATAATTAAATCACTAATATGCACACCATAATTTTGAGTACAGCGATGGTTCACACATTTTATAATATAAATATACCACAATTCACTGTATGGAATAATATTACTGCAAAAAAACTAAGAAAAAATCAATCAGAGACATTGAAATAATTAGGTAATAATATATTTGTGGCAACTGCTGTCTGACAGCTCGGGCGGAGTAAACGTCATCTGGCGAAGGCTCTGCCATCGCCCCTTTTTTGCCACAATTCCCTACCCTATTGCGGCTAAAATATGCCACCTACGATTTTTTTTGTTATTTTTTCCGTGATCAGGGAACAAAAATGAACACTTCTATAAGACGAAAGAATTTTTTGGATTTTTTTTTTTTTGTTGCGCCTGTGGGTGTGAATTCCATTTGGGCTCCTAGCGGTTTGAGGGTTAAAGTAAAAGAAGAGCCCATGGGAAAGACAGCAAGAAAGGGCCGCTGGTAAGACCCCAGAAGCCTTGGCAGAAGGAACAGGCTCGAAAACCTCCGTCCCCAACCCGAACGGGGCAACCCTCGAAAACCGCCCGAGTCTTGGCCCCAGCTAAACCCCGCCCCGACCCCGAAACCCGCAGACGGTCCGGAGCCGGGAACAGGGAGGGAAAGGGGCGAACAGCACCTAACCAAAACGGGGCGGCGTCGGGGCATCCGAGTGGGAAACCAACCTAGCTTGCAACACGGATGCCGTGTACTCTGAACAGTAATAACATCAGGAGAGTACTGCAGAACAAGCAGAGAATCTCTCGCAAGACTCCGGGTCAAGGTGTCAGTGACCCAACAGGCAGCATGACGGAGGTAAAAGTGCCGACTGTCACCCGGAGACAATGGCACAGCAACCAACGATCCCGTACAAGACAGATTGGAACCCTGAAGACACATTCAATGATCCCCCGAGCCCAGACAGGGGTTTCCAGGGCCCATAGGCTGACTGCTACGGGAAGCCCGGGCAAGGTGTTGCTAAACCGGTTGGGGATAGCACTGAAAACCCATGAGATGTGTACAATCACGGGGGGCCTAGCAGAGGGCCACCAAACACTGCCAGTGGAACTATAGCCACACAGGGCAGACCCCCCACCAGGCAATTGAAAATAAAACAAAAGAAAAACCCCGCTAAAGTACACTGTCTCCAAAGGCAACAGGAACCAGTCGCTGCTTAGGTGGCAGGCTGTGCAACACCTTAATGCCCTAACCAGCACAATACCAATCCCTACCCAGGGCCAAACAAGGGCCCCAAGCCCCAGCTGTCCCCAAGGGCGAGGCAAATGCCGAGCAGCAAGAACCTCTACGGGAATGGTTCCCGAACGCCCCAGGGAAGATAACCCTGTTACGCAAGGGCAGTACTCACAGGGCGCTTAGGGAAGTCAGCCATTAAGCGCATGCAGCCCCGGCACTGATGAGGTACTCCTGGCCACCGCACAACACAACACATGGCAGTGGACGCCACACAAGGCAAACACCGCCTAGGAAACTGAAGCCAGAGAAGCGTCTATCCCGTTTGACATTAGCTTACAAACTGAAGCTTGGCAGCCGGCGCAGTAGGTCTGGGGCTCCCCCCCTCCCCCTCTCAGGACTGGGAGAGCTGCGAGGACGATCGGCGCGGCAGTAAAGTGTGATGTTTGCTTGTTTCCTTGGGATTGTAGGGAGTTTCTAGCTCTCTGTTCGGTTTTTTGTTTTAGTTTTTTACCATGTGGGGTTTGTTTTGTCAATCCTACCTTTCTGGGTGCCTGACCCCAGTCGATGGCAGATAAGGAAAACACCAACCACAAGGGGGTTTTCCAGGGCCATTGCTCCCTGAAACCTCTCTGAAGGGGCCAGGTTCTGGCGCTGGTCCCTGGTAGGTCTGAACTCCTTAGCTAATGTCCCGGTCTAATATAACATACATTAGCCCGATAAGCTCCAAGGAGCCGTAGGGGCTCCCCACAGAAAAGTGCATGTTATTCAGCGGCAAATACGGTATACACTGTACATCAATTTTATTTTTGTAAATTATCACACACTGGCAAGTTCCTAAATAAATTGTCCACAACAAAAATGTTTTTGATCCTGGAACTTACTGCTATAGTCATTTGACAAAAACAGTCTAATTCAGTTAAAAGTACAAGTGCCACTGATATTTTTTTATGTGTTTTCTGATTTCAGTGAAATGTCTTCCAAGAAAATTTCCTACAGTTATGATGGTCCTAGACATTTGGTGCTCTAAAATCTCAAATGACTCTATGTTCAAAACATTGAAAGGGTTACAAGACATAATTCTGTATGTTCAAAGCATTGAAAGGGTTACATGGTATAATTCATTAAATGTATTTAATGCATCTTTTTTAATTTTTGTTATTGAACACATGCTTTTAGTTTCTAGTGTTATAATTCACTAAATATACATAATTCATTTTGAACTTTATATTTTTTAATGCAAGATTTATATATTTATTTTAACATAGTGCATTTCTAGGAGAGTCCCCCCCCCCTAAAAAAAAAAACTTCCCAAAGCTATCTCGCTGAGATTCCTCCATCTAATGGGTCACATCTGTTGCAGGAGTTATGTTTAGCTTGCCGGGGACCAGTGTCAGAACCTGGCCCTCCCCTCACACAGGTGCACAGAGCAAATAACAATTTGCCCACCAAAAAAGCATCTAGAAAGTCAGCAAAGCTGACTCCATAGATGATCCAAACGAAACAGTAGATTCATTCATGACTAAAACTTGTTAGTACTGATAACTGGCTTAGCTTATTGGCTGCAGTGTGAGGTTCTGGGTATTTCCTGGCTGGCTGCCATCCCTCTCTCTATTCTTTGGGAGCTTGGCAGGGGGTTCTGTCGGACTTGCATGCTTGAATGGCGGGAGGTGAGTCTGTCTTTCAGCTGTACCTGAGCAGTGCTTTTTATGCTCTGCTTAGGACTCCCTGCTTCCTCTGATACTCTCCATGATGTGGGCAAGTGGCAGCTTCATGTGCAACTGCTTGTGCTGTCTGGCAGTGGTCTAGTGTGTATAGGTTCTCATGGAGGGGCTCTCTGAGCACCATAAGGATGTGGCTTTCATTGATTTCCACCTCGGATATGGAGGCCTTGGGAGCCTGCGGTTCCAGCCTTGGCTATCTTACCCGAGATCCTCCTTCAAGAGTTAGTGGTGGCATTTTACTTAGCCCATCTTGCATGTCGACTGGCTGTATTGGTCGAGGTAGGTTCTTGTGGGAATCTGATTCTTGTGCCATTGTGCTTTTTTCTGCAAATTCCTCTTCTGCTCAGCATAGCACATATGCATTATGGATGCATAAGTGGTCCTATAGGTCCACTTGTATTTTTGGTGGCCCTCCTCTAAGCCCCCATGATTGTACACATCGCAAGGGTTCAGCTTTTAGTTTGCTTGGTAGCTCTGGGATACCAGTTAGCAGCACTTTGCCTGGCGCCCCCTTAGCAGTCAGCCTAAGGGGCCCTGGAAACCCCCATTGGGGCTCATTGGTTCGATGGAGGAGTCCTCTGAGTCCCACCTCGCTTCGTGCGAGTTTGAAGGTTGCTCTGTCCCCTTGTCTCAGGGTTACATTCACCGTTTTTGCCTCCACCATGCTGATTGTTGGGTCAATGACACTTTTGATCCAGAGTCTTGTGAGTGGTGTTCCTTGCATGTACTCCAGATCACCCAGTCCACTGTTACTGATATTCTGGTGCAGGCAGCTTCCGCATTGCATACGAGATTTAAGTTGCTTCAACACGTTCAGTTGGTTGCCTTTCCGAATGCCCCGCAGCTGCCCCGTTTGGGTTATAGGGACCTGGACTTGGGAGTGTTAGCTGCCTCAACTTTGGTTTCATCCGTGCCCCTTGTCCTTTCCCCTGCTGTAGTTCATCCTGCTCCCGGCTCCCAAACGTCTGAGGGTTTTGGAGTCGGGGCAGGGTTTTCTTGGTGGTGAGACTCGGGTGGCTTCGGACTGCCCCTTCTGGATCTGCGGAGGAGGCATTCAAGCCTGTTCCTCCTTCCTGGGCTTTTGGGTCGTGCCAGTGGACCCCTTTCATCCTGCTTTTCCAGTGGACTCTGCCTTTTCTCCAGAGACAGAGTGTTTGGTGGACGGCTAGGCCCCAGGTCCTGACGTGGAGGATCCCGGGGCGGGGGAGGAGTTGACTTGCCCTGTTTGACCCTGCTTGGGTGTTGGTAACCCTCGCTGCGGGGCATGTTGTTACAGAGGAAGTGAGTTTTCTTATCCCAAGTTCCGCTCCTCCCGAACACGATACGAGTTCGGCTCCTTCCGAACACAATACGAGTTCGGGCTACTCCCCGGTTTCCATTCTGGGTTCCTTTGGGTTCTTCGGTTCCCTCCTTCCGGAGGTTATCGGCTTCCCGCATTCCACCTTGGGAGGTGCGAGAGGCCCTTGCGGCTTACCTCCTGCGAGACCCACATTACTTCTCGATAATAGATCCTTCTTCTTTTGAGTTTGGCTCCTCTTTTCCTTACTTAGTGTGTTACGAGGTGCTGGAATCTTCCTGGCTGGCAGACTGCCCTTTCTTTTCATTAAGGGCATGGCATGGGTTCTGTCAGACCCACACTCTTGAATGGCAGGAGTTGACTATGGTCGTTCAGGTTTACCTGGGCAGGGGGATGAGTTTGAGCACCTCAATGCGTGCTTGATCACCCCTGTGCTTCCTTGCGATATCGCCCAGGTGCAGCTTCACGTGCAGGTCCCTTTCCTCTCGGCATCCCTGGTTACTGAGGATTTGCATGCCCGTGGCCATTTGGCTCCAGTCTTGCGCTTCTTTTCCCTGCTGGAGCTGTCTTCTGACTGGCTCGAGGAGGATGTGTAGGAGCTAGGTTCCGGGCCTGCGTCCGGTGCTCTTACCTCGGTGGCTCGGACATCACCTGCCCTGTTGAAGTTGTTTGTGCCGATTCTGAAGGAAGCGGTGTCTCTGTTCTTTGCTTCTCGCCTCGTGTGCTCACAGGAGAAGTTCGTTTGCTCTTTGGAATCTGCTTGTGCCCTGGCCCTTAGGTTTTCGACCTCTTTTTGTCTGTTGTTGATTGAAGAGTCTGCAGGTGGCTTCATCTGGTTGCTGGCCTTTGTCGGACTTGTTGGTCCTCCGGGGGGGGGGGTTCTTTCCCGGAAGGGTCATGCCAGGGTTCAAGGTTCTTTCAGTCATCATAACCCAATAGTGCCAGATTTAGGGCCAAACCCCTCCTGTGGAGCCTTCGGCATAGTTATTGCGCTGAGCATCGGTTAGGTTCTCATAAGGGTCGTTGGCCTTTTCGTGGTTCGCTCCATTGACGGGGCGATGGGGGGGGGGAGGGCTCGCGCTGTTCGCTCTCACCTGGTGCCACGATTCATGGGTGTTTCAGGCCGTTTACTTTGGCCTGCAGTGGCGTTGGGTGGCTCTTCCTCTTTCGGGGGATTTGGGGCAGGCCTCTTCTCCTGCACTATGACAGGTCATCAGTTTATTAGGGGTTGTTCATCATCTCCAGAACTGAGCAGTGAAGCCAGCTGAAGACTGTGGCCAGGTCACTCTATATCTGGCATGCATGTTGGTGGCAGCTATTACTATTAATGATTTTGAGCTATATTTGAGTAAATCTGTTGTTTCATTTGAATAATTTGCAGAGTTCTTTGTTGGTTTTCAGCCTTTGTTCTCTGTGAAACCTTCACTTGACTGTAAAGCGTCACTGACTTTCTGGATGCTTTCTCGGTGGGGGTGGCAAATTATCACTAGGTCTCTTCCCCTTTGTGAGGGGGGGTCCAGGCTCTGGTTCTGGTCCCAGGTAGGCCAAACAGAACTCCTGGAACTGATAGGATCCATTAGATGGAACATCTCAGCAAGATAACTTCAGAGATCTACTAGGCTCTATCAGAAAGAGGCGTTTCATTACATTCAACACAGGATATATTTAATTAATGTACAGTAATTAATATCTAAATCTGTAATAAATTTATTATAATTTTGAGATTGTGAAATACAAATGTTATATGTATAATTCTGTGTTTGAATATTTTCCCTATTGTTAATAAACCTTTGCATTACATTCAGTTAAGGGATTTCACATTGCAACCAAAGAGAGGACCCAATGTGTTTATGTCAGGTGAAGAGTGAAGTGGCATGCACAGCAGAGTTGGTGCATTGTTAGGGACACTATGTACAGCAGTCTGGTAATGTGTCTTAACACTGGAGACACCCACTGGTGGCTTCACTGTGCAATATATTGTAACATAGAGATAATAAATGCAATGATTACAGAGATGTAAGTGCAGTATTCTAAGAACACTCACGAAAGTATACGGCTCAGTATTCATTAATTAAGGAAAAGAGAATCGATCAAAAAATCAGTGTTGAATGTAATGAAACGTCATTTTCTGGGTGAGCCCCGGAGGCTCCCTGGAGCTTATCGGGCTAATGTATGTTATATTAGACCGGGACATTAGCTAAGGAGTTCAGACCTACCAGGGACCAGTGCCAGAACCTGGCCCCTTCAGAGAGGTTTCAGGGAGTGATGGCCCTGAAAAACCCCCCTTGTGGTTAGGGTTTTCCTTATCTGGCATCGGCCGAGGTTAGGCACCCAGAAAGGTAGGCATAACAAAACAAACTCCACATGGTAAAAAACTAAAACAAAAAACCAAAGAGAGAGGTAGAAACTTCCTACAATCCTAAGGAAACAAGCAAACATCACACTTTACTGCCGCGCCGATCGTCTGCGCAGCCCTCCCCACCCCGAGAGGGGGAAGGGGAAGCCCCGGACCTACTGCACCGGCTGCCTAGCATCAGTTCGGAAGCTAAGCTTCAACCAACGCAAAAAAAATGCCGACCGGTGGGAGAGAGGGTTGCCAGGGAGCCTCCGGGGCTCACCCAGAAAATGGCGTTTCATTACATTCAACACTGGTTTTCTGTGGGGAGCCCCTACGGCTCCCTGGAGCTTCATACCCAAAGAGAAGGAAAAGAAAGGGTTCACTCGGGAGGCGGCCACCACAAACTCAGCAACGCGAAGCCAAGACAACAGGCTGCAACCTGCAACCCAAGGGAACAAAAACGCACAGGAGCAGACGCGCACAAAGAATGGGCGGCCAAGAACCTGTGCGACCCTCAAATGCCTGGGCCTGAAATGACGTCACCAACACAGCAGCAAAAGCTGCAAACGTCCGAATAGCACAGGCGCAAGGACAGACCACAGGCTGGAAGACTTAAAAACTCTGCTGACGACCTGGGAGACTCGGGCCCTGAAGCGGGGAACGAGGGGAACCGGATCAACCCAAAGCGCATCCCCAGACACGGTACGCAGGTAACAGCAAAAAGCGCAACCGGACAACACAGAATGCACCCCCGGCTGAACCAATCAAGCATCAATAACCAAAAAACCCCTCCGGAAAGCGGCCGTCTTGACCAGCGCCAAAGGGACGGAGAAAGGCTGCAAACGTACAAACCTACCACCAGTACCAAAGAGCAGAAAACTTGAACCGAAGGGGCTACCACATACTGAGGAGAAGATAAGAAGGCACCCTGATCAAAGACCAGGACGGCTCAGGCGGCGCATGAGCAGGCCGGAGGTGAAACAAAACACGAGAAAGCGTACGAAATGGAGCAGATGTGACGTCCACCCCGAATGCACAAAACGAGGCGACAGTAAGAAACATCAAATAACTGTAGTCCTGAAAACCCAAGAAAGGACAAGACAACCTACGAAGAGCAAGAAAAAGTGCATAGAAATACCAAGAATGTCATACAGTACTGTCGCCGAGACGAAGCTCGCAGGTGGGACACCATCAACAACGCCACCTGATCACCACAGAGATGGTGATACCCGCGTCAAAATACAAGACGCGAAGAAGAGCCGAGGAGAAGGCCGAACCAGTCACGTACAGGACCGGTACGACCTGCCGAAGGAGGCGGACCCGCAGGAAAACGCCCCGGGTTCGGACACCTATCAAGCAGTGTCTGAAAATAAAGCTTGGCCGGCCACCAAAGGACCATGAAGACTACTCTCGTGGGAATGGGCTCCAACCGAGCCAGAACCCGAAGCAACAGCTGGACCGGGAGAAGAGGAACAGGTACCCCTACTTCGACCAGTCCTGCCGAAAGGCAACCACCGTGAACGCCTCGCAGGCGGGTAAGGGCGCCACATAGAATGGGCGATGCCTAGACCACGCCGACACGAAGACGTCCATGGCCAGGAGTCCATACGTCCGGCAGAGTCAACGAAATGGGTCGGCAACGACTGGCCAATTCGCGAACAGAGGAATGAACCAAGACGGCTGTCCGCGAGGACACAGGACACACCCCGGACATGAACCTCACAGTTACCCAAACCCCGAGAATCCAACAAACGAGCCACTCTTAAGGGACCAACCCCAAAGGTCAAACACCTAAGAGAAACCCTGTGGTTCCGGCAAAGAACCACCAGAGAACAGTCTGAATGGAGCTGAATAATAGAGCACCGAGTGATCCATACCCTCCGAAGCACAAACCAGACAGCCACGAACTCCCGAACCGTGCGGGACCATGCGAGAGCCAACAGAGCAAGCTGCTCCCCCAGCGCCCCGTCAACAGAGAATGGAACAGAGCCTCTTCCGAAAGAAAAAGTATACATACAGTACACATATACACATATATACATGTGTGTAAATCACAAAAATAAACATGTGATTAAAAATGTGACAGTGTCAGACCACGGAGGAATATTGAAACAGGAATTTCCTTAAGTACTTTTATATATTAATACATCTTCAGAAGGAGTGATTTTACAGGCAAAGTATTGGACATAAATAGGCAGGAGAGAATGGTGGAGTGAGGTGAGGTACAATAACAAATGAATGGGAATTGGGTGGACACAAATATGAGCCGCACAAGAAATGCTGAAGGCCTATTGGCCCATACGATGCAGCTCCTATTCATACCCACCAACAGGCCCACACAGGGATTATAATAGCATAAGACAGTAAATATTTACAATGAATTAGTGAGACAAATGTGTTCCAATGATCCTACTCAAATCGCCCTTTAATTGATCTAAGTTATATAAACCACTTCTAATATTCAAATTACTTTCTTTTGTAATCTGTATCAAAGCATATTCAATTATGTTTCTGTTATAAGTGCTTTTACAATTCGTTATTGAAGAAGCCATCTCCCAATCAATTTGGTGAGCATCTTCTGACAGATGAACAAACAAAGCATTAGACAATTGGCCATGTCTTACAGAGTATTTATGTTGCGAAATTCTACATTTCAAATCTTTAGAAATGTTTGCCCAACATAGAACTTATTACAGTCTTTACAAGGTATTTTATAAATGACACAATTATCACTACTAGGGCTGTTCGTAACTAATAGCTTGCCAACAGTATTTTCGTAGCTAAACAATAGATGTATATTAAAAAGTTTCAAGGCCTTGACAATATTCTCAAACCCAGAGAAATATGGTAAACATAACACATTCTTTAGGCAAATTCTTTCACTGCATATATTATTATAATATGTACAACGTGCTTTGCTACAGCAAACTTCCAAAAAACTCAGTGGGTAACAAAGCTTGAGACCAATCGAATCAATATTCTTAAACTCTTCATCTAAGATTCCAGAGTTGTGAGTCCAGAATTCTTTGAGTAGGATCATTGGAACACATTTGTCTCACGAATTCATTGTAAATATTTACTATCTTATGCTATTATAATCCCTGTGTGGGCCTGTTGGTGGGTATGAATAGGAGCTGCATCGTATGGGCCAATAGGCCTTCAGCATTTCTTGTGCGGCTCATATTTGTGTCCACCTAATTCCCATTCATTTGTTATTGTACCTCACCTCACTCCACCATTCTCTCCTGACTATTTATGTCCAATACTTGACCTGTAAAATCATTCCTCCTGAAGATGTATTAATATACGAAAGTACTTAAGGAAATTCCTGTTTCAATTTTCCTCTGTGGTCTGACACTGTCACATATATACATATATATTATGTATATACACATACACATACACACACACACGTGCATATGCACATACACACGTGCACACACAGTGTACACATGCACATGTGTACACTCACACATACACGTGAAAAGAAAATTACCAGCCGCCGACCAGTGGGCAGAGAGCACCACGCCGGCCAGGCGAAGAAAGCACAAAATTGCATCAAAAGGCCCACCTCGACAACAAAACCCCAAAGTCCCAGCACGACCACAACACGTACCAAGACCCAAAAAGATCAGTCTGCAAGCCAGGAAGACCCCGGAACCCCAGAAGGCAGAACCGGGTCACACAGAAGGAAAGAAAGCCCCCTGAACCCACTAAGGGGGCCCAAGAAGTAGAAACCTCCGGAATGAAACCAATGAACCCAAAGGAACCCGGAATTTAACCAGGGGCAGCCCAAACCACCACATTTGCCGACAGAGATACACCACAGAAAGGCAAAGCACAGCCCCCAGACAGAACCCCCAGGAAAAGTCAAAACAGACCGAAAACCGAGGGACAAGGTGTGGGAACAAGCATAACAGACAGGGACACTGAGCCCAAACCCAAGGGCCCAGACCCAAAACAGACAAAACGGAAAACCTGGTGTAAAATCAACACTCAAACGTTCCCAGAGCAACAGGAAACGGGCAGAAAACACCAGAAAAGCAAAGAAACAACAACAGGAGAATAAAACCCCTGAAAATGGTGAAAAACTCACCCAAGACGCTCGCTCGCACACGCAGGCGCATGTAAACAAACCACAACGCCGCCCTGGTGGCCACGCCGGGAAACCGGCAGAAGAAAATGTCCACCAGAACAGAGGGCTGTGACGGACGCAAAAGATACAAAAACACGCCAGCAAAAGTGGGAAGCAAGCGCCGCTGGTAAGACCCAGAAGCCTTGGCAGGAGGAACAGGCTCGAAAACCTCCGTCCCCAACCCGAACGGGGCAGCCCCCAAAACCGCCCGAGTCTTGGCCCCAACTAAACCCCGCTCCGACCCCGAAACCCGCACACGGTCCGGAGCCGGGAAAGGGG